CGGGGATGGGAGGGCAAGAGCCCTTTGCTACGAGCGTGGCTGTGCGGAGGACGGTGTCCGCCCCCGGTGCCATCCCCGGGCACACGGCCCCGACCGGGCTCGGGCACTCCCGGGACTCGTCCCCGCTCTTCAGGGTTGTGCAAACCCCACGCTGACGATCCCAGACGTTATTTTTTTTCTTAATTTGTGCTATTAATAGCCATGGAGAAGTGAGAAATGCCTATGACAAAGGCTGTGGCCGCAGATTCCTGTTCCCAGGCCAGGAGCGGGCGGTTTGGAGTAACCCACCCCTGACGTAATGCTCTGTCCCTGGGAAGACCCCCCGGTTACCCGGAGTTTCCGAGCCGGCAGCGAGCGCTATAAGAGCGGGACCCAGGTACGGGCAAGGACAGAAGCCCTGGAGCTCTGCCTGCAGCCCCACACATATGCTGAGGCCATGCTGCCGGCCATGAGGGTCTTCCCTTCCCCTCCTGTGAGTATTTGCAGAGGTGGCTGGGGCCACCCCGGAGAGGGTGGGATGGCCATGGGACATCTGAGGAGGTGGCCTGGCCGGGGAGGGCTGGAGGGGCCCCAGGGAAGGGGACGGAGATGGCAGGGAAAGCTCCCCGCCGGGGCTCAGACCCATGGACGGTGCAGTACCGCTCCTGGGAGACGAGCAGAGCTCCGGGGAGCAGGGATGGGGTGACGGGGGCCTGTGCTGGCTGTGACCGGTGCTCGCTGTGTTCCTCAGCAGTGTGTCTACCCACACGAGCCAGGGCTGAGCTCACCTTCATTTCTTACCAGCAACCCCGCTGTGACGGTGAGTACGTGGGGCACCTCTGGGGCTGTGCAAAGGGTGGAGTTATCAGACGGGAAACAGAGATGCTCCTCTCACTGCAAACCTGTCCCACACCTGGGTCAATGCTCTGGGAAGCAAAGGAAGGTAAAAAGTCCTTCCCCTAGACACCAGACCCAGAGGTCCACTGTGGCCCTGGTCACTGTAATGGAGGTAATGGTTCCTTCTCTGGGAAGGAAGGTTTACAAGGGTCCTAAAATCAGGGCAGGGTGGAGACTGGAGTTTTGCTTGCACACATCCCACTTACTCCAGGGTGAACGGAGGTGAAGCCGGTGAAATACGGTGACACCAGTGCCATGAGCAGTTTGGGAATGGTGGAGGAACTTGCTGCAGAGACACCGTATGGAAAGGG